CATACCTACACACATACATACACACATACATACACATACGCATACACACATACACACACAAACACACACACATACATATACACATACATACACGTACGCATACACACATACAAACACACACACACATACACACACACACACACACACACACACACACACACACACACGCACACAAAATATTACCCAGTTAGCTTCCCATCGAGTTGTGCTTGTTACCATGTTTTTCCCTTACTTACTTCCACTTTTCTCTCCCCCTCCCCACCCCCGCAGGATATCGTGGTCAGCGAAGTGGACGTGGGACAACCTTGTCTAGCCTGTGGCGAGAAATGTCCCGGGTTCGCACACCATGACTGGAGGTCAGTGAAACAAACACGCTAGCTCATGAATTTTTGCTACCTCATCACATTTCTAAAAAATTAATTGCTGTTATAGTAATATTTTGAACCGGCGCCTGAATTTTTTGTTTGTTTGTTTGTTTTTTTGGTAAGTGTTTTACGGCGATCGCAACTGCATAAGGTCATAATGAGTGCTCGGGACACATCAATCATTTTCAGTTGGTTGGAAATTTTGAATTTTGCCCGGGTGGCGGCTGAAGCATTCTCTGATCGATTTAGGACAAGCAAGGGATCTTTAACGTGCGCAACGTGCACACGGGACCTCCCGAGATTTTTGGCCATTATCCGAGATATCCCGCAGGGTATCGTGGTCAGCGTCAGTGAGGTGGATGTGGGTCAACCTTGTCTAGCCTGTGGCGAGATATGTCCCGGGTTCGCACACCATGACTGGAGGTCATTGAAACAAACAAGCTAGCTCATCATTTTTTACTCTCTCGTCACTTTTGTAAGGATTTCATGAAGTCTTGGAAAGAGCTGGAATTAAAGATATATAAATAATAAGGAGAAAATGGAGATATTTAGGACATGCATTAGAATACCAGAGACAAGATTGTCCTGTCAAACATGGTGTTGGAGAAAGCCATTATCTTGCAGCGTGTCAATGTCACACTACATACAGCAAAACTGACAAAGGATTGTAAAGATCCATTGCTCTTATAATTATACGGGGGGCTATCCCGAAAAATGCTGTTTTGAGAAAATTGAAAGTAACGTATTTGGACCCTCGTTCAGTTTCTTTAAAAGGCAAGGAGAGTTTTCTCTATAACCAAACAAATAAATATACACACCAATAAAACCAAACTTTTCCTATAGGTAGGGCAATGCCCACTTTTGGTGTAGGTCAACATTTCTGGAAACCTCCGAAATCTGGGTTAGCCCGCTTGTCCTTAATAGCGACCATATGAACCAGCGTCTGAATTTTTTTGTTTCTTTCTTCTTCTTTTTTTTGGTAAGTGTTTTACGGCGATCGCAACTGCATAAGGTCGTATGAGCGCGCAGGACACAACAAACATTATCAGTTGGTAGGAAATTTTGAATATTGCCCGTGTGGTGGCCGAAGCCTACTCTTATCGATTTTGGATCTAAGGGATCTAAAGATGCGCAACTTGCACACGGGACCTCCGAGATTTTTCGCCCTTGTCCGAGAAGGCTTGGTGTATCTTACCTACCATAAGATCAGGCGTGTTACTGAAATACAGCAGTAAGAAGGAGCCAAGGAGAAGCAGTAGAAGGGCTGCAGAAAGAGTCACGAGCCCAGAGGAGAGGGCAAAGGAGATGAGGGGGTGGGGGCAGAAAGTGGAGACGAAAGCAGACGACAAAACATTGCTAGAAAGCAGGAAATGAGGAGAAAGGAGACAATTTAAAGAAGAAAAATGTCCTCCGCTATCCGGGTTCGATCACACGACCTATTGAATGAAAGGCGAACACCTTAACCTCTAGGCCGCGAGAGCCCCCCTCATCACAATTTTAAAATTCATTGCTGTTAAAAAAAAATATACGAACTGGCGTCTGAAGTCTTGCTCCCAGACACAGCTCAGTATTCATGTCTCTTCCGGAATGCCCTGTCTTCCGCTTTTCCAGATATTTTTAACAAATAGCATTTACATAGCGCTCTTCCCCGTTAGGAAACACGCAATGAGCGCTGTGCAATTATTGGAAGTAGACGAGATATAAGCACAAATAAAGGTGTCACGGCAATGTGTGATCAGGCGCTCGTCCATTCTTGTGCGTTTGGAGTGATTGGTATCACTTTAAAGATTGTCCATTTACCTTGATGAAAGAATTACAATTTATATTTTTTATACCTTTATAATCAACGATTTTCAATAATATAATTCACACTGAAATGGGTTCTCAAGTGGACATAAAAGA